CCACCCCAACCCTTCTTCCACCTCCATCACCTACACCCATCCACCATAGCCGACCACCTCATCCCTTCTCCCACCTTCATCACCTACACCCGTCCACCATAGCCAGCCACCTCAACCCTTCTTCTTCCTCCATCACCTACACCCATCCACCATAGCCAACCACCTCAACCCTTCTTCCACCTCCATCACCTACATCCATCCACCATAGCCGACCACCTCAACCCTTCTCCTTCCTCCATCACCCACACCCATCCGCCATAGCCGGCCACCTCAACCCTTCTTCCACCTCCATCACCTACACCCATCCACCATAGCCGACCACCTCGACCCTTCTCCTTCCTCCATCACCCGCACCCATCCGCCGTAGCCGGCCATCTCGACCCCTCTTCCACCTCCATCACCTTCACCATCCACCATAGCCGACCACCTCAACCCTTCTTCTCTTATCACCTCCCTCATCCACTCGAGAGCCATAGGGGCCGCAAGGGGGCACACGGAGTCTCGGGTAGGGCCGGTTAGGATGGGTCAAGGGTCAAGGGCGATTAGGATGTGGGGCCTCTCATGTCCTCTCTCTTCGCTTCCTCTTTTCCTCCCTTCCTCTCTCTCTCCTCTTTCTCTCTCTCTCTCTCTCTCTCTCTCTCTCTCTCTCTCTCTCTCTCTCTCTCTCTCTCTCTCTCTCTCTCTCTCTCTCTCTCTCTCCGACCCTCCCCCTCTCTCTTTCTCTCTTTCCCCTCCCTTCTTTTCCCCAAGACCTTTGACTCCTAAGCTCTCCCCTCTCCACTTCCCCTCCATGGCACGTGACTAACCTCTACCCTCAGCTGTTACATTGCCAGGGAACGAACGACAAGGAACTTGATCCTCACTTGGTGGAAAGCGAGGGCGAGGGGAGGATTGCCGGTCCCTTGCGCCACCAAGAAGGAAAGACACCAGACTGTTGGGGGCATCTGAGAAAGCGGAAAGGAGTGCTGTTTTTGTAACGAGGTCAGTTTGACTCAACCATCCTCCCCGACTGCATGACTAAGGGAAAGGCGTGGCTTGCTTGAATGGAGGGAAAGATAACCAAAGGATCATCAAGGGCAAAGGGAACTTAGGCTTGTGGGAGGGGCGGTGCGTTGACCCCAATGAGGATTGCATTTGGTCCATGCTTCGTATGGTGCTGTGCAGGTGAGTAGCTTGGGATGGGTGATGAGCGGGACTGGATCCTCCGGAAAAACTGGATAAGGGAAGGACTTAGACCTCGCATAAAACTGTGAATGCAGGAAGGGTTTGACGGTTGGATACTTGGATGGATGGTAGACGCCTGGATGGGGCTTGTGTGATGATTGAATGCAATGACTCTCTTGAATGCAATGCAAGCCCGGAAGGACTAAGGGCAGTCTTGGATAGGTGAATGCAATGTTGGTGGCTCAAGCAAAAAAAAATATAGCGGCTAGAGGTCTGGGCGATGCCACCCCACCCCAAGGATGCCGTAGGGGCTGTCTTGAGCCACTAGACTTAGTGAAAAGGTGCGTGGCCCAATGGATGACGCTTGGCCTGCGCACGATAAGAAGACAAACCTTCAATAAACTCCCTGGACTGCTTGGGTATTGGAAGGAGCAATTGCCTGGCCAGACTAATCGAATCAAGAAAACACCACGAGTGACCAAAGAGCTACCATCTTGACGCGAGAGTGGAGCTACATCCCCCTATGTAAAGCCCTCTCGCAAAAGACCCATCCCCATCTATCTCAAAGCACTTGGTGGGGATGCCCCTGGGACGAACGACCCGTGCCCTGAGCGTGAGCGTGGGCGGGTCGAGCCAAATGGGACCCGCAGTGGGGTCGACTCAGGCTCGAAAGTCCTTCAGGGTACGGCCCCTACAAAAATGGTGGAGGTGTCGGCTATGGGTTAAACTGACCCTGACGATCTCGAGGGGGGCGCCTGACGCATGACCATGTACATAAGTGAAGATAAGGAATATGGACTTGCGTCTCTATCCCTTTGAGTGAAGCAGATTTGAGGGCAGCTGGGCGCATGGCAAGGCCAGGCCTGGAGGTATAACATACATGTTGCATACGCAATCAGCCATCTCCTTTGGAGGTGACTCTAGTCCTCCTTCTCTCGGGCTGATGTTCGTCAGACCGGGGAAGCCTTGGGCAAGCCGCAGGTTGACCCTTCCTCTTCGTGTGAAAGAAGGGCTCCGGTTACCTGGCAGGCGGTTGGGATTCCGAGCCAGTCCGGGTTCCAATAAAAATCCCGCGGCGGAGCGATCCGACCGACACGGATGCCCTCTCCTCTTCTTCGGAGCCCAGCGGGCTCCATGCACTACACTTAAATGTTTGAAGGAACAACATATGAACACAAGAGGTAATCGAGAAGGAACAATCATGCCCTATGAACGGACACATGAAGTGAAGATAAGGGGAATGGAGGGAGTTGCTAGACTCCAAGGAAAACTAGCTCACCTTTGAAGATGCTCGCGAAAAGGAACCAGGCACTATGTATGGAGCTTGAGGGTGAGTGGCATACACTGTCCTGAGTGAAAACCTGTGAGCAATGGGTAGGAAGCGCTGGGTGCACCAAGGGAAAGACACTTGTTCTATGTGTGTCCCACTTGGGACTTGTGATTGCATGATGGGGATTTGAGCGTCCTGCCATTTGGAAGGAAAGGAGGGGTCTGCACCAGCCACTGCGGATTGCATAACGTCGTTCTCTTTTACAGGTTGCCGTTTGTTCGTATGCGGGGGCCAGACCACCGAGCTGTCTAACGGGAGTTTGTCACGCCGAGTGCTTAGTAGCATCCTCGTCCGCGCGGTGACGGGCTTCGGCTCGATTGATCTGTCGGGCGGGGTGTGAAACGTTTCTTTAGGCGGGGCCTAGCCTGTGGACTGGCGGAGGGAGTACCACTGCATGCGAGCAAAGACGGAGCCTGGGAGGCGATTAGTAGCTTCTCGTGATTTGGTTTGGGAAAGGTTGTTCCTTGTCGGACCGATGGAAGTGAATGCCTGGACGGCTGACTCCAATGGCCCTACCGAGATGTGCGGGGTGATTCCCGAGATTAACGGTGGGTACACGAACGACAAGTCGGGATGGGGTATTCTGGGCAAGAAGGTGAGGGCGACCCCCCACTAGAGTCTGGGTACCGCGCTCGCGACGGTTGAGCTGTGCATGAGGTATGGGATAAAACTTTGCTGATAGTAACAGTGGAGAGACCATTTCCGGGGAGAAGGTCGGTGAGGAGATGACCGACCTGTGTGCGACGTTTGCCTGAATTTTGCTTTTTGTGCCTCCCTCTGTAAAGTTGCCTGATGAATGTTGGATGGGGACTGAGCTTCTGAGTCTATTCTCACCTCCAGGTCTAAGTCCGCACGAGTGAGAGAACATGATGATAAGGGCTGGATAGGAGTCGGAAGGAAATGGAACCAAGAAAAAGGAATGCCGGTTGGGGGTGACGGATCGAGGGTATGATGGGGTAACGACATCTGAGACATAGGTAGGAAATGCTGAGGAGACCCTGGGGAGGGGTCTGAAAATAATTCTCATCTAGGCGGGAGGCAATCTGACCATGAGGGGCCGTGTGGTGCTCTCATGTGGAAGCAGGATAGGCGCCGGAAAAACAAGATGGCGCGATGGTTGTCGCCCCCTGTCTACTCTAGCGGTCCGGAAATGCCCATAGATGTAAGGGAAGGGGTATCTGTCGTCCTCCCGGAGGAAGGAACGTGGACGGACCTAGAGCCAGCTTATGAAACCGTGATGCTGGACGAGAAGGACGCGTTCCTCTGGATAAAGACAATCTGGACTAAGGTCAGCCTGACAAGACTTTCACCTAGTCTGATGAACCTAGAATTCCGGGGAACGGTGGAAGCTCGAGGATGGGTCTACGTATCTCAGGAAATGGAAAATGTAATGGTAGTGGGACTAGTACTGGGCACGGCACCAGATCAATTGTTTAAGCAAGCGGAACGGGAAGTGGTATGGGCGGCATGTCAGCGGGCGGAAATGGAGATGGAAAAGATGGAGGTGCGAGTGGAACTCGGAGACCGGAAAAATATGAGACGCCCCATTAGGACGATGAGATGCGTGCTACCCCCGTTTCTGGTGGATGCAGTCTTTGGGACCAGGGATAGATTGGAACGGATATGCCGGTCGATGACGCACCTGAGGCTGTACCAATGTGTTAGACAAGACTTCTTTAGGCTGTCGGTGGAAGCGGGGCCGTTTGAAGGAAACTTGGCGGAAGAATTAGCTGAGGTATTAAACCTCCTCGGCACGGACAAAATCTTTGTTCCCAGTCCGGTGCATTGGCAGATAGTTTACCGGAATGTGGCGGCAGGGGAAACCTTCTTGGAGGGGTGAAGGACATGTTCTCAGACGAAGAAGGGGATTTCAGTGATGATGAGGAAGGGGACGAGATAGAGGACTGAGACTTCTGAAGGGGAGGCTTACTCGGGGAAAATGGGTGGTCGGTTATGTGCAGGTAGGGAATCGATGGCTCGAGAATTCCAACTGAGGGATTGCACGTTCGAAGGATGGAAACCAAGGCGGATTAAGGGGGGGGTAGAGATGCCCTTGCATGCGGAATATGAATGGAGAGGAACGACGTGTGACTGGGTCGGGCTTGAGATTGTACCTGAACTGTCATACCTATGGATAGAACGTGTCTGGAACCCCATTAGGGAGGAAGATGGATGGGAAGACATCACAGAAGGGAGAGTGGAGTCGGTAGGGACGGTCGTCTTGTCGGAGCAAGGGTGGCATCTGTTCTGTACCACGCTTACGGCGGGACAAGACCCGATGTGGCTTCTGGAGGGAGCAGAAACGAGGGCTCAGAAGGCGGGTGAGAGGTTTGCCAATAAGGGATGGGATGAAGTCCACAGCAAGGTCGTAATGGGGGGATGGAAAGAGTTTAGACCACCTTGCTCGCGAAAGAGGATCTGGGTCCCCGAGTTCATAGTGGACTGGTTTGGGGGTTTTGACCACGTTGCGGAAGTGGCCGACACTATGAGAAGGGTGCACATAGACTACACGTGGTTGTCAGAGGAGTTCTACAAAACGTCGTTGAAGTACGGGCCTTTCCATGGCGATAGAGCCTGAGAAGTCCTTATCATTTTCAATCTGGACAGGTACGATCAACTAGATGTAGCCTCGTAAGTTAGGGATGCCATAATCCGTCGGGAGGTAGCAGCGACGCCCTGTTGTGTGGATGATGTGTTTAAGCTGTTCGAGGTACTGTGGTTCGACTAGGAGCTGGGAAAACCATAGGCCAGGCAAGTACGAGGGATTACTGAGATAAGGGAGTGGGATGTCTAGTCGTTGTAGGTTTCGTTGCGAACTGCGGAGTAAGGAGACCAAGGACAAGCGCGCGATGGCGCGAAGGAGGACGTTTCTTGAAGATCGCCCCTGGGCATTGAGCCACCCAGGGAAGTAGAGGGTGGGGTAGAAGTTAGCCTGCCGGCCGTGAACGAAGGATGGCACTCGGTGGCGGATTGGGTCGGGGTTGAGCTTATGGAAAATATGGCTTACTTGGTAACGAGGGTCGAGTGGCGCGCAAATAAGCGTGGGGAATGGAACCCGGACCCGCAGGGGCATGCGTGCGGAAGGGCGATTGTATGTGTCGGAGGACGGGTGGCGGGAGTTCGGAGTCCGGTTGGCATAAGGAAAGGATCCAATGAGTATGTTTGGAGGGGCATGGCAGTTAGTGTGGAGAGCAGGGTTTGAATTTGCGGATCCGGGATTTGATGATGTAACGGCACACCTTAGGGTAGCTAGGGTCGGCGATTTTGAATTGCCTAGCGAAAACATTTGGATGAGGCTGCCGCCTTTTCTGTTGGAAAGGTTAGGCGGGTTGGAGCTTGTCAGACAGGCGGTTGCCGACCTTGCTAGTCTAACATACGAAGACGCGATGGTACACCGAGAATACTATCGGTTCTTCCTAGAAATGGGGTCGTTCAGCGGAGAGCAGAGGTATGAGGTGTTGCGAATTCTGCGCGCATTATTTACCACTAGACCAAGGGCCCCGGTGGTGAGTAATGAAGTTCTATGGGGCGTCGTCCGGCGGGAAATAAGTCGGGGGATGACGTACGTGGATGACCTGTACCGGTTATATGAGCCGACGGAAGAGGGAACAGGTCGGTAAAAGAGCCAAGGAAAGTGGGAAAGGTGATAGAAGAGGAAAGGAAGCATCAAGCCAAGGACCGAGGGATTGCCCAGGTAAGGGTCGGGGAATGGATGGAATAAGCAAACTCGCTTGCTGTTTAAACTGTGCAGGGGACCGCTAAATCGAAATGCGATGAGACGCGCCTGCTTGTCGCGACGGCCCACGCACCCCCGACCCCCCCCACGGAAAGCGGAGACGGATGGGAGGTATCGCTCCCAGCAAGCTACAGGGTCCGAGAGATCGATACCGAATGGAGAGCCGTAACCTTGGGAAGGGACCAGGCGTTCATGATGGTGGAATGTTTGTGGGATGGTATGAGAATTAACAGGGGACCAGGGGACGATCTGTATACTGACCTCAGGGTAACTGGAACCATATACCTACCAGAACTCGGGTGGCACACGTTAGGAACGGAACTGGCGCTAGGGCATGGTTTGTTACCAATCTTCCAGAGGGCTACTAGGGTACTAAACCGAGTAGGCCAGTAAGTGCGAGGGAGAAGGAATGTGGGACTGAGAACCCGGGTGGAGGTAGGAGGTTGGCGGAAATTTAAGGCCCCAATGACAGCGCTGAGGTGTCGAGTGCCTCGCTTCATGGTGGACCTAGTGTTCGGCAGCCTCGCAAGGGCAAGGGATCTGGTGGATTCGACCCTGGTCTGGATCCACCACTTCCGGCCATAGACAACAGGGATGTTTTACTATGTGTCGATCAGGCATGGGCCGTTCTGGGGAAATCAGGCCAAGGAATTACTTGACCTCATTGAAATTTTGATATTCGGGTTGCCTCGCTTGGCGTTTGAGGAATACAAACCAATAATCGTTAGGGAAATACAGATGGGAGAAAACTACCTTGCCGGGGTGGCTGACCAATTCGAGGAACCGGACGAACAGGGCAGGCCTGAGGGACTAGCGTGAGAGGAGGCGCCAGGGGAAGACGGGAAAAATAAAGGATGGGTATTAAGATGAGAAAGTAGCCACCAGCAAGAGGGGGGGGCACTGGTTGGAGTTCCGCCCTACCTGACGATGCGGCTGGAAGGAACTAGGAAGACCACCCGCGCCAGGAATGTCGGGGCATTTGGGTATCAGAAAGCCGAAAGGGCTATCCTCAAGGGGAAGACCACTGGGCTCAGACACCGCCCTGAGAGCCGAGGCAGGGCGACGACAAAATGCCAGACCTCGGAGGCAAGTCCCCCGGCGGAAGAAAATCTAAATGGTGCCCTGTGAAAGAAAAGTCAGGAGTGTCGTCCCGACTTATGAAAGACAGAAAAAGGCATGAAAATAACCGGGTTTTAGGGCTGGAACTAGGGAAGCCATGAACAACCGGCCATTTTTCGCAAAAAAAATTTCCATGTGCAGGCTAGGTAAAGAAATGGCGTCACAAGAACAGGACGACAACCAGCAGAACAGAGAGAGTCAGGGTGCACGGAATAGGGAAGGGAGGGACGGCAAAAAGGGGAGTCCTCGGAACTCCGGAGGAACCACGCCCAAGAAAACGAAAATCTCGGATGCACGCCACAAATTGGCGGAAATAGAAAGGCGGGCCGCAAAATATAAGGCAAGACTTATTGAACAACTGATGGTCGGGAATGAAGAGGATCCCCAGGGGGAAGGATCGCGAGAGGGACGCAGGACCAGTTAGGCAGGTACGGAGCAAAAGATAACAGCCATAAGGGAACACCCAGCAAGAAGGGGAAGGAAAATGGGGAGTCCCCGGCTATAGAGGCAGAAAAGGCCACGACCCCGCCGGCTATGGATAACGGCGCTAGTCGTCTGCCTGCCACATCCAAAGCAACGAAGGGATGCGATGGACTCTAGAGTCTCAGAGAGAGGGTGTTAGGCTGATTTGATCCGGAGGGAACACCAAAAACCGGGGAAAAGCACAAGGAAGGCAGGGAAGGAGAGGGGAATAGTGCGGTCGGTGAGGCGGGTAGCTTTGAAGGGGGACTTAAAAGGATAGTAGCCACCCTCACCCGGGCGCTGAATAAGAATCAGGAGTATCTCGCAGACGCAAAGAGGGCAAACATCACGAAATTCCTGATAGATTATGAGAACCTGGCAGCCTTACTAAAATGGACTGAGGAAGAAAAGATGGACCACCTAGGGCAGCACGTATCGTTGAGCTTAGGAAGGGACATTATGGCTATCGTCTCTTCTAGTGGATCCTGGAAGGAAACCCAGAATGAGATGATGAGAAAGTGCATGAAGGCGGAGAAAATGACGAAAGTGGCTGAATTGGCGGCAGTCCAAAGAAAAAACTATGCTACTTTCAATGACTTTCTGAGGACGTTCACTCTAGTGGCACTGCGAATCCCTGGGGTAACGGATCGAATAATGAGCAAGTATTTCCTTAGGCAGTTCTCCGAGTTCGACAAAGATAAGATCCTGTCGGCCTACCGGCAGACCAGTAAGTTTGAGTACACAAGGGATATGGACCTTAGCACGGTAACAGACCTCGCGGAAAAGACGGTAGTGACCGACACATTAGCTCTGCTTAAGGAAAGGGAGGCTATAAACTTGACGGGGAAGATAGGGGATAAGGTCAAAAAGGGGATAGAAAACCTACACGAACGAGTGCACGGGGTTGACAGCAAGATAGAAAGAGTGGAAAATGCGCTATTAGTAATGCAGGCGCAAGTGTCCCGACCCGCCCTCCCGCCCCAAGAGGCCGTGGTTCCTACAGCTGTAGCAAATCGTGGGTTTGGCAGGAGGGATCCGGCCAACGAACAATGCCGGTATTGCACAATGGTTGAACATTTCGTACGGACCTGCCCAAAACTCAACCGTGATATCATGAGGCGGAGATGCAGCAGGTCCCTCAAAGGAGAAATTTTCGGATTTCAGGGAGAGCGCATAAACTGGAATTTGCCTGGAGGGATGCGACGTGCCGTCATCCTCCTGAATAACCTGGAAATAGCTACCGTAGAAGCAGAGCCGGTAGCTGACATTGTTTGGGAGCAGCCGAGGGGGCGAGAACGAGACTAGCGCGGATAGTCGGACTAGTGCAGCAGACATAGTGTATACGGCAGTATATAAGGGATTCGCTAAATATAGAAAGAGGGCACCTCGTGTATGCGTTTTTGTTTCAAGAATCACTAGGATGACATCTCGGCGAAATTCGAGGGGCCGAAAGGGTTTCGTAACTTTTAGGGGCCAAGGCGTGACGAAAAATCCCTAGGAAGTCGAGAGAAGGTATCAACCAGCGGGCAACCGGAATCGAGCAAAGTGTGGGTGTCCAAAACGGGAGAATAAGCGGTTCTGCTTGTTTGGCCTCCTTGTGACACTGGTAAGAGAGACCATCGAAGCAGTAAGATAGGTAGAGGGCGAGAAAACATATAGGGTAGGGAGAACCCTAAAGTGCACAAGGAAGCGAGAGGACAAGGATTAAGTTGATTTGAAAATAGGAACATTTTTCGGAACAGATAGCGATAGGAAAACTGTGAGAGATAGAGTCTAAAGCAAGTTCTCCTTCCTTCGATTGTATGGCATGTAGGTCTTATACGATATGGACGTCGCAAGCAACCGAAGGGGCCGGAGAAATAAACGTGACTGGATAGGCAACATAGGCGGTCGGAATCCGGGGGGACAAGACAGTATCATAAATACCAACCGACGGTTCAACACGAGGGGGTCAAAGGCAACGCGAGGGGGATTTTGAAAAAAAGGAGTCATACAGGGAGAAGCCCTGCAGAATCTCGGGGAATGAGGCCAATCGTAGTCGGAAATACGAAAGAGTCACAGACCTGGGTGGGTGGAGTGACAAAGAGAAGGAAGGTAGCAGACACCCTACATAGACTTAAGGAAGTGGAGCAGATGATAGCAACTTACAAGACTGGTGTAATTGAAGAAATGATAAAGGACATTGAGGGTGAGGATGACGATAAGCTACACAATGATGAGTGGCATGATGAGATGCGACGAGAGCGCATCATTGGGAAGCCCGGTGAATGGGGGACGGGCGGAAACGGGGGGGAAAAAGGGGGAGTGCGACCTTCCAAGGTAGGTACGGCGAAGGAAATAAAGAAGCCAGGAACAGACCATCGAACGAGCCAGCAGACAGGGGGACAATCCTTGTCAAATGAAGACTATAGTGAGTTGTGGAATCTAAGGGAGAGACTCACAGGCTGGCTCGACCAAGAAAGGGAAGACGGAACAGAGAGTCGTCAGCGAAACAACGAAGGGTTTGAGGTCCTAGAAATAACCGGGTACGGAGTAAAAAAGAGGTCGGGTGAGTTGCACGATCAAGGCGAAGGGGCGGACAACCAGAGGGAGAGGATAGGGGATACCCTCCGGGTGGTGCAAACCCGCGTATCTCGAACTCCGTTGGTACCCCAAGAAGCTCTAGCTCCAAGACCCGAGCGCCGAACCGATCGGAGAGATCCTTCAAAGGAATCATGTCGATATTGCACCTTGATGGGACACTTCGTTAGGCTTTGCCCGAAGCTTAACCATGACATCATAGGAGGGCGGTGTTCTAGGACCCTCAAGTGACAGATCCTGGGTCCTAATGGAGAAAGGGTTGACTGGAATTCACACGGGGGGATGAGACGCGTTATAGCGACATTAAACAACCTAGACCTTTCGGTAATGGAGAAAGAGGAAGTGGGCGAGCTTTGTTGAAGGCCGACATGTAACCACGAGAAGAAGCGGGGTCGTGGGTAGGATGGGACCGCCGCTTGAGAAAGGAAGGACGGACACGACCGGACCTCAACAGTAAGAGGACACCAAGATGAGCAATGCGACGTGAGAACCGGAGGTTGTGAGGGCAAAGGTGGTCGAGGACGAGAAGCGGGAAAGCAAAAAAAAAAAAAAAAGGGGGGGTTGAGGAGATCATCGCCAAGCTATCGATACCTCCTATTGGGAGAGAGAGGCAGAGGAAGTAACCAAGTTGGAAGGCGGAAGGAGGACCTTAGGTTGATAATCGTAGGGGAACGTTACAAAGAGGCATAAGGATTTTTGGGCAATTACGCAGCCAGTGGTTTTATCAATGAGTTAATGTAATCAATGAGTTAATGTAACGTCTAGACCATCAGGGTCGGAAGAGAGATGAGGAGGGGCGAGTCGGTCACAGTGTCGACTTTCCACGACGGAAGAACGCTTGAGATGTCCGTAGGAAGGAAAGGATAGGTGTTCTCGCTTATAAGTATGGCTGGGGTACACCCCGCAATTAAAGGAACTTGAAAAGGCTATGGGACAAGGGACCAGGAAGGGAAAATCGAGTCGCGGTAGGAGAAATTGTGTATGCAAGTTGTATGTGGGATAGAAGACGGTGAACTGGTCATCTCGGTCGTCTTTTGAAGTGTGGTCTAGATTATTCAAGAATTGACAAGAGCAAGACAGGCTGATGTTGATCTCTAGACGCTACCTCTCGCACAAGCTATTCTGAAATATTCAGTACTTGATGAGACATTGGGATAAGGACTGGTGGCAACAGAAGAGAATAGGCATGGTGTGAGCTTGGCAAATGCTTGTTAGGAACATTAGTGGTAGGACTTGACCAGTGGGAGTCAGGTTGACCACAGAGTCTTGTTGCGGTCCTACGAGTTGCAATCCCGCCTGCCGCCTTCCTCTTAGAACAGGATTAGATTTAGAAAGGCAGAAATAGGGGTTTTGGACTCTCGAGATATAGGAGAGGGACTGACTCAACTCCCAAGAGAGGGCCTTGTTATCTTCCATCGCCTGAGGGCGTCGCAATGATTGTTTGAACGCACGACAATTTGGTCAGACTTAAAGTCAAACTGCTGACAACCGGCACCCTGGCAAGCTCCAATTCGCAGTAAGGATCTCGCCTTCCGAGTCATAATGTCGTCTCTTCTGATCAACCTGTACGCAGACCTCAGCAGACGTAAGCACGATCCTGGTGACAAGCCTCCAACTTCGTGGCCCGCCCCACACTAGCCCCATCGATAGGATGAGCAACTCATCATCCAACAGGTAAGCCTCTCCTCTCTCAGTTTCTATTGCGCGCGATTTGCCCATTGCCCAGTTCCCACAACACTCGTTCCTTTTAGGGCACAATCGTGACGATGGCAATGAAGAGCCCGACCGTGTAGACCGACCACGCAGATGACGGCTCGTGTGGCCAGCGAGGCAACTATCACTGTGACCGGTACAGCAACACTGCAACTATCAACCTGCAGGAGGCGAAAATGAATCTTCCGTTAAAACACAGAAAGATACGTCTTCATACTTACCTCCTCCCTAGTACACAACCCTCGCACCTCCATCCCGTCGAGTACATCCGCCCGTCATGAATCCGACTTCAGCCTCGGATTTATCCATCCTCAAAACCTCTACTCCGTAACTCGTTTCAGCAGAAAGTGTCGTGGTATGGGTGGGCAATGCTAACCCCCGCTGCAAGCTTTCCAATTCTCGGCGGCTACTTGCTACTACCACCGATCGAACGACCAATTGTATCTACGACTAGATCGTAGTCGGGCGCACCCCAACGCGCTAACCGATAAGTCTTCAACCCTGCGACCGGCTTCACACCCCTTCCTCCAGAATGACGGGCAAGTCGAGTGAATTTTCAACTCAAATACGGGTAAGTACATGCATAGTGAAACATCATCGAAGCTCACCATTCGGTCTCTCCCGCATCACCAGTTCGGAGGTGAGCATTTTCCCTCCCTCTTTTTTTTTCTCTCTCTCTCTCTCTCTCTCTCTCTCTCTCTCTCTCTCTCTCTCTCTCTCTCTCTCTCTCTCTCTCTCTCTCTCTCTCTCTCTCTCTCTCTCTCTCTCTCTCTCTCTCTCTCTCCGTGTGTGTGTGTGTGTGTGTGTGTGTGTGTGTGTGTGTGTGTGTGTGTGTGTTTGCTCCGCTCGTTGTCCGCTACCGACCGATTGTTGTTCCTCGCTTCTAATCTTCCCATTTGCCCGCAGCCCCTAACACTTACCCCGTCGATCCTACTATCCTGTAGCTAAAACTAATAGTACCATTAGATTCGCCCTGCTTCCAAACCCCCACCTAGCACCTTTGCTCGCCCGTTCTTATCAAGGAATGGGTGGGCCACGTAACTTTAACTCCCGCCATCTTCCATAGCTGAAACACGTCCGCGCACCTCCATTTCCTCACTAACTTACATCCTACTAACTCTTTGCTCAAACTAAGTTCATATTCGGGCTCGCCCACCACCAAAATACTAGGAGCAACTCCCTCTTCGCCGGTTTCTATTAAGGAACGGGCGCACAATCGTCTTCCTTCCTCTACTCCCGCCATACCTTCATGCATCAACTTTCTTCTCTGCCTCCTTATGTACTGACCTACCTCAAAAACTAACCTCATAGTCGAACTCACCCGGGTCCAAAACCCTGGGACCACATCTTCCCCCGCCCGAATCCGCTAAGGATCGGGTGAGATGGACGATTTCAGCCCCCGTTTCCCCTTCACCTCCGTCGCCATCTCCGATCCCCCCTTTGGTTGGATGCATTCGGCGCGAATTCGTGCCCGGGTCCACTCCTCCGTCCTTCGTGTTTCGTTGTTGCGTCCAACCCTCAGTCTTCCCCGCTCCGCTCGTCTACCTCAGCGCCTGTAGCTGCCCCGCCTTGCTGGACTGTGCTAACATTCGTCACCCTCCATCTCCTGCGCTAAACGCACCTTGGCGGTCAACCTGTCCAAATTCAGCCTCCCTCCTTGTTACTCTGCCTTAGTGTCCGTCACTCTACGGCGTCAACGCCCGTAGTTTCTTTCCAAAATTTCCCGTCTCTACGGTCGCCCTCCTAGTTTCTTCGAAACACAGGCCCCGACAACATCGGACTCTGTCGTAGTGGCCGGCCAGTTGTTCCAGCAGCTCCAACTATCCTGAGGGAAACCTCGGAGGGAGTCGGGTACCAGCCGGTTCGATAGCCCTTTTGTGAGCAGCTCGGCACCTGCCTCCTAGAGGTACACCGTTGTTCCCCCCATGAGGGGCACTGAGCAGGGACCGCTGAAATTCAGAGGGGAAAGGGACCTGGAGGGAGAAACAGTGACTGGTCTGTCGACTAAGCTCGGTCTTGATGCTACTGGCCGACCACTGGCCAGTATCACCCACCTGCTGCGGTATGCATCGCACCCACCGATGGGTGCGGCTCCCTCATGCTCCCCAAAGGGGCTTGAGCCCGAATGTGGCTGCTACGGGGTTCCCCGTAATACTGTAATGATAATAAAGAAAACGGCCCGAAAGGCCGTCTTGTTCAAATTTGACAGGTAAGATAAGTTCCAAAAGTCTTTCGTCCCTGTTCTTCAACAACGGCCTAATAGAGGACCTCCGCCAACATCCCGAACATGTGGAACCCGAACAAACTTGTCGAAAGAGGTACGTACTCCAGGTCCTCGACTGTCGTGACGACCACCAAGTCCGGCGCCGCGTCTAAGTCAACGACAAGTCGAAGCATACCGAAAAGGAAAAATAAAAACACGACGCTAAAATGAACTATTAAGAAAATGCCACCACTGATCGGGCGCCGCCGCCGCCAGCAAAACCAAGGGGAACAGCCTCGCCGGACCCTCCATCCCTCGGTCCCTTCGCGCCCCTCTGATATTTCCGCGTTGTCGCCACTCAATCTCGATCCCTGAATCTTCCCGATAAAAATCTGATACTATGACTGTTAGTACTAGGCCCAAGGTTGGGCCTAGCTTTGACTAATCATCTAAATAAACGAATACTGCGCGACCGACAAACCTACCGAAACGTTTTCAAAATTCACGTTGTTGTCGATGCCGTCCTCCGCACGTACGCACAAGTCACCGGTAGGTATACCAATTATGAGACATAATCTTTTTAATCCTAGTTTAATCAAAAATAAAAATCCGACCGGCATCTACGCCGACTTTCACAATCATCAATCAAAAATAAATGATCACGCGTGCCTCAGTCCGCGCGCCCACACACTCTCTAATTTAGTCAGTCATTCAACCGCATAAACAACGAATCACTTATTTTATGTCGCTTGCAAAAACCAGGGCGGATACCCTTGTAAGGGTATTCGCACCAACAGCGCTACCAAAATTTCTACAAATCTAAGGAGTTAGTTAAATTTTGAGCTAAGTTTAACTCAGGTTTCATGTCTGAGTTCACATCTTACTTAGTATAAATCTAGGAAGTCTCCCTTTCTAAAGGAAGTGCTGCCCAAATTTTTACTAATTCAGGGAGTTAGACAAATTTTGACTTTCTACAATTAAAGATTTGATTTTTGAGCTTGTATAAATTCTGCGAAGACACTTTTCCTACGGGAAGCGCTGCCGAGATTTTCTTAGTTCAGAGGAGGTAGATTATATTTGACAGGTGACAATTCTGGAAAATCCACTCTGTGTAGAGGAGATTCTGCCAAGAACTACCTTTCTTTTGGCACTTGCTTAAGAGGTAGGCTTAGGCTTAGTTAATTAGGATGATTTGAGTGAGATCGTGATATGGGGATTATTCTCCATGAATTTATAGATTTAACCTCGGGGATTGGCCTGTCATGTGTTACAGGTCCTCTTGATCGATTGATTCAAGATTTGGTCTAGATTCAGCTTGATCCTACAAGGATCACCTTCTGTTATTACTAATAACAGGTCGGTTGCCGATTCGTCGGTCGACGACTCAATTCCAATTCACCCTCAATACTCAACCTGAAAGGCTTTAGCTCTGGTGATTCTTTTTGTTTTATTAAGATTTTCACCCAGACTTTTATTGAATGACTATTTAACAAAGGTACTGAGTACTTAATTATGGTTGGTTGGACAGAGTCTGGGGCTTGCATGGCTAAAGCGAGGGGTATGAGTATAAACATTGATTGGACTTGACTCCGTGTAGTGCATGGACTTCTGTTGGATCTTTGATGTGATTGCAGGTATGTTCTGTGGTTCGGACTTTTGGATATGACTGTCAGCGATCACACACATATATATGGTTGTGAGGAGTCCCACTTTGATTGTGAGAAGTGATCGTCACATACTTATTCCTCTTTATACACACACACACACACACACATATATATATATATATATATGTGTGTGTACCTCTGTTGGATGTTCGGATGACCTGAGAGGTCCACGTACTAAGGATTTAATTAGGGGTTGAGATCGAGAAAAGAAGGAAGACCCCTCTATTTGTTTGTATGCTTCTTGAATAATTCTTAGTCGGACGTTGGTCCTGGGCCTGGATTCAAGGTCCTTGTCCAGGACATCCCAGGCCCTAGACTCTGCAGGGAAGGAATCTACCCCCGCGCAGAGCCTATTTGTCCTGCCTGCCGAGACGCTCGGGCCAAAGACCGGAGGCCTCGCGGCGGTTGCACGACTATTCCTTCAGTCGTGCAATGTCGTGAAGGAGTAGACCCTCACGACACTTCGAGGTTGACACATGAGTGTCATAAGCGGTACTCGGATCCACGAGGCACCGCTTGATTATGGGCACTACATAGTACGCCATCATTGCGACTGCTTGCGTATGATTGCATTGCTAGTCGATATGAGTAGGCCTTGCGTCCGCGCGACTTTATGCTAAGTCTTGCGCGTGACGCTTATCCGATTTCCGCATCGGAGAGTTATGGGACAACTACTAAGGGACTAGGAGAGTTGTCACGTTGTTTGTTTCGTGTCGTTTCATGTGTATGTATGTGTGTATGTTTTTACTTTTTAGTGGTGTGCACGTGGAGTGTGAGATGCGTCCTAGTCGACCGGCGACGAGTCGCGCTTGGGACCTCAGACCCCCCAAGATGTCGGTTCAAGTGTGGGTTCGATAAAGGCGTAATACCGCGAGTACCCCCTATGCTACAGCGAACGAGAAACGCCCTCGGCTGGTCCACCTCTGCGATTGCAGTTGATTAACTTTCGTATTGTGGACTGGTAGCTCGGCGGGGATACGCCCACCGAAGGGAGGTGACAACTCCCGTAAGGTGGAGGTAAGTCGTGCCTCGCATATGGCTGGCGGACTCGACTGGAGCGGCTTGCGGAAGCTCCATGTATATTTGCGACGAGGATTCAGACCAACTCCTGCGTGACGCGGCCGAGAGGGTCCCGTGCTGCCTTGTATAATGCCGGACCGATGCGCTTGACACCGCCCGCGATAATAAACAAGAGCCACATGATTAGA